CACTACAATACCGATGGATGATTCACGATATCGGTTTGGCTTACAGCGATTTAATCGCTCACCTCTGCACGCCGAAAGCGTAACAGAAGGCATAAACAACAAATCCCTGTACCAGCCAACACCTTACTCATAGCACTCACACCGCCACAAGAGCAAAACAAACCGCTCGTTCAAATACCCAAGAAGCCGAAATGAGCAGCTGGCTTCCATCCACACGACGCTTCAGTTAATCGAAGCCGTCATGGTTTCGACAAATCCAACAGAAGCTCTCGACCTGGGTTACGAACGGTGTCCTTCCAGCGCCCAATTCGGCCACTCTTCCAAAGGAAGTAGTATGCCGCTTGCAACGCACTAAACTCAATCCCCAATTCTCTCTGCAAAACACACCAATACAACAACCACAAACTCCTCAAATAGCAGAGGAGCTTCGTCAGGAGACAATGGATATGTAGACAATATGCTCACAACGTGAGCCATTGTCCATCCATACACTCCCCAAAGACCCATATCATCTGCTCGCAATCACGCCCTTGAAAACACCCAGCTTCTCTGTCGTACAGGTGAAGCATCCAGTTCAACAAGGGATCCTGTCCTTCCACAAAACAAACGCAGCGCCCATTTATTCAGACGCCCGTCCAACCCAACCAACACGCTTTACATCAACTATCAGCAGCAAACGCTGCTCACCACTGCCTTCGTGAAGAGCGCCGCTCACAAGGTTGACCCCTCACACCCATCGCCCAGGGACGACAACATGACAACCCTAGCAAAACCGAAGTGCCCGAGTATTCGAGCGCTCCACTTCGCATGCTCGCATGCTCCTCTGGCAAAAACAGCCGCATATCTCTTCTTCTCGCATTTCGTGCCTCTTCAGAACAATTTTACACACGCCTTGTGCTTGCCTTCCACGTCCCAAAGCCGCGAAATTTGAAACCTCTTTGAAATGCATCTGTAATGTTGCATTACAGGAACGAATCACCAGCGAAACCCACTTGGTCAAACAACCCCACCCACAACTCCCACACAGCATACTAACGAAGCTGTATTCTTCTGAATTATGCGGGAACCGGACGAAGGTACTCGAAAGCCTTGGCTGCAGCACCTCGGATTTGTTGTAGCGACGGTCGAGGCTGGCAGTAGACAGTTGACAGTAGCAGCTTCGGAAAAACAAACACGCTACGGTTCGCAGCGCAGTTTCATGGTGAGTTAATCACAACGAATAATACTGTTTCCGAAGCTGCAACGGTCAACTGTCTACTGCCAGGCTCGACCATCGCTACAACAAATCCGAGGTGCGGCAGCCAAGGCGTGAGCGTATGCATACAATGGCTTTTGAATGAGCTGCTGCAGTTGTTCTACAAATGGATATGGAGACGCCATAACCGTGCGCCAGCAGCCGTTATTAGCTGCCAGTTTCGAAAGGAAACAAACGTGCAGCAGTTTAACGTTGTCAAGGGCGTATGGTAGAAAATCCTGCATGAAAAACACAGTTGAAAGTATACAAGGTACTGCATCCATGGAATGCGCGCATGCTTGCATTGCATGCTTTCACTGACACTTGGAAGGGAACCGTCTTCGTTCTGGCTGCTAGCGACATCTGGGGCTCAACCCAGACCCAGGTGAACAGCAGCCGATAATATTTTTTGTGGGTGCACTAGGAGATGCGAAAAGGCCTAGCCACTCAGGCTCAGCATGACGACGAGATGCGAAATGAGCGTGGCATGTAAATTGCTCCACAATATAGCATACCAAGCTGGTGATACGGGTTCCGTTCCCATAGACATGCGTTTACAGGTATGCAGCTGATAAACATACTTCTCCAAGACCGAAATGGGATTCAGCAGCCATGCGCCTATCCTTGGGAGGCGTTTCGTGCTGCGCTCTATAGGTTTTGAATTGCCTCCAATGCTTGCATAGGCATACGCTGACAGCTTCGGAGCGGATTAGCATGCGTCGCAAAGTTCGGAGCTGAGAGTTTCACTCCCTGCAGTGCCTCATGAATGGGTCTTCACGAGCAAGAGTCATTCCCATATCTTTGGAGGTCACTTCCTGTTAAGTTCCCCTACAGATGCAAGCGGGCGCCAACACTGGTATAGACATACCTTTACAGGCTTGGAGCTCGTAAAAGTAAGTTTCCACGTTGGGTGTTGAGACATTTTCCTGCTGCACCGCCTCATGAAAGATGCATTAGAACCAATGCGAATATCACTAGGTCCCTTTATGTACTGTGTTTTATTAAACCTGCAAGCGGCACCGGCGTTAGCATCTGCATATAGAGCCAAATGAATTGATGTAGTACAAAACATTTGAGGTAATATAAATAAACTTGAGTCAAATGAAAATATAAATAACAAGAGAGTCCAAATAAGCAAGGCAAACGGCGGCTTTCCGCTGCCTCTGCACTGTCTGCAGTATCCTGTCTTTCCTCTTGCTACAAGCAGCAGGAAAGGCAAGGGATGGATTATTATTATTATTAATATTATTTATTAGTTTTCCTAATAGGGGAGGTATGGGAGTTTGCTGGGGAGGCAAGATCACAGGCTGCAGGCAATGCTATTTCTTCTTCGAGAGTGAACTGCATTGTGCTGCAGTTACTGCTGCGCCTGAAGATGGAGTTCTTCTTGGGATAATGTAGAGAACGAACGCCGTTAGTCTTGACCCAGGATATGAGATAGATATGGTTTAGGGATTAGGGTTTCGGGCTTAGCAATATCGGTGCAGGGTTTAGGAAGCAGGAAAATCCTTAGGTGCAAGGAACCTCTAAGCTAGCCAGGGTGGATCCGCGCGTGCGTGGGTCTTCCTGATTACTGTATCCTGAAGAATAAACCCTCTACCCTACACCCTGAATCCTCGCGCAGGATAGGGTTTAGGGTTTGTTTAGCGCCCTTGCTTGACAACCTCAACGGCATTAGTAATCTGCTCTCTGAGCTTGCTTGTAAGAGGGGGATTTGCACGCGCGTGCAGCTCTAAATGCTTCAGGACCTGAACAGAACGGAACCACGAGATTCCGGTGTTCTGCTGCAGTGACATCATCAGGCACTTGCGGCCCTCCATCAACACGCCCTTCGACTCCTAAGCAACAACAACACAGTACACAAACCCTAAACCCTAAACTCTAAACCCTAAACCCTCCAACATCCCTGCGGACCTGCAAACCATAAACCCTAAATTCTCCAACATCCTTATGAAAAGCATATAGTGAACAGACCCTAGAATTAACCCATTGAGGAATTTCTCAGAAACGACGAAAATGCAAACCATCAGCCCAACCCTAAACCCTAAACCCTAAACCCTAAACCGAGCAACCAAACTTCCCAACCGGAATACTAATCCTCAAACCCTCTATCACGAACCCTCTTAACTTGTGCAAAACTCTAAAACCTAAACCCTAANAATACTAATCCTCAAACCCTCTATCACGAACCCTCTTAACTTGTGCAAAACTCTAAAACCTAAACCCTAAGCCCCAAGCCCTAAAGCCTAAACTTTAGACCCTCGCTTTACCTTCATCTTTCGCGCATTTCGCGCTGCCGCTCGCGCTTGTCTTTTGGCCTTTTTGTACGCTTCCGTCTGAGCACAGAAACACACAACAAAATATGCAACGCCCCAACCCCTAAACCCCAAACCCTAAACACGTCGCCGCAGAATTCATGGGGGCCTGCATGCCACCACAGCCCGAGTATTCAAGCTGGCATGGGCCCCCAGTGACGCTATCCGCACAGAGCTCGGGGTCCTAAGGGCCCTCTCAAGGTATCACCGCATCACAGGCCTACACCCCATCACCCAGGAAGCAATGCACAGCTCCAGCACCCCTCAAACACTGACCTGTTTAACTCCGTAGGGAATTCTCTGTCTGTACGTCACGCCACGCAAAACCTGCGAGAGGAAGAAGGCCCCCCACATCGTATTTAACAAGGCTCCCGAAACGCTGCTGTCGCTGCCCTTGCTTCCGCTGCTGCTGCGCTTGCTGCAGTTCGTGCTGCAGCTCCTGCTGCTGCTCGTTTTCCTGCTGCTCCCCAGGGTGTGCTTGCTGNCTTGCTGCAGTTCGTGCTGCAGCTCCTGCTGCTGCTCGTTTTCCTGCTGCTCCCCAGGGTGTGCTTGCTGGTACTTCGTTGGGTTTGCACTGCTGCCGCCGCACCTGCTGCAGATGCTGTGACAGCAGCAGACCTGCATGCGCTGAAGATTGCTGTTGGAGAGGGTAGCCTTTCTGTCTGTCCTTCTCAAGGCTCTGAAGGCTGTAGAGCGCCCCTGGCCCCTCCGGGGTGCTGGGGGGCCCCTCAGCGGTTGCGCGTGCAGCTCGGCGGTGCACAGCCGCCACCTTCACCCATCTACAGTTCGGCAGTTTAATTGATTTATTTAGCATTTATTTCTACTGCAACTTCGTCTTAGAGCAGAAGCTTCGAGCTGCTACCGGCCTACTGCCAGCCCCAAACGAACCGCCGGTCCCTGGAGAGGGAGGCCCGTGGGGCCCCCCCTCCTTTTCCGTCTACGTGAAGCTACTGCCGAGGGTATACGGTTTGTTATGTTACTGTTCGGAGTGTTTCTAAGGGANTCCGTCTACGTGAAGCTACTGCCGAGGGTATACGGTTTGTTATGTTACTGTTCGGAGTGTTTCTAAGGGAAATACACTCAAACTCCCCATGTTGACCCTCTGTGGTGCACACACATAAAGCAGCAGCGGCAACAGAGGTGGCAACAGCAGCAATAACAACAGCAACAACAACAGCAGCACCAGCAGCAGCACCAGCAGCAGCAACAGCAGCAGCAACAGCAACAGCAGCAGCAATAGGGGGAGCAGCTGCAAGAGTCGCTTCATCAAAGTCCGAAGGACTCCACACGGAGAACAGCTGGAGAAGGGGCCGCAACAAGAGCAGTACCTGCACCAACAACAACGATGAGTGTTGGCTGCTCCCGGCGGTTTTCTCCGCCGCAGGGGTCTCGTTTGCTGCAGCTGGTGCTGCAGCTGCCTCTGTTGTCACTGGTATATCTCTCCTTATGGGAAGGGGGCCCCCTGGGGGCCCCCACGCGTGTGTCTGCACATATTCATGTTGCCCCCGAATACTTTCACAGCTGCGACTCTGTGCCGTCTTCAGCTGTAATGCTGACGGGGGGGGCCTGGCTGCTGCGGAGTCTGGGCGCTGCATCTCCTCTCTGTAGGGGGCCCATGGGGGCCCTCCTGGGCTGTGCGGTGTACACGGATGTGCCGCATGCGCCTAGCATAAACCCCAGAAAGCTGCAGGCTCTCCACGATGCCTCCCAGCCCCCCCCAGAATCTGAACTGCCTCCGTTTCTGCTGCAGCGGCTCTTCGGGTGGGGGGCCCCAGTAGAACATACAGAAGAAAGACACAAAGCAGCAGATGCAGGAGATGCTGCAGAGGCTGCGGCAACAAAACACCCTCGAGGCTCCCAGGGCCCCCGCACCGCCAAGGCCCGCCGGGTGCCCCGTCAGTCGTCTGGTGAGGGGCAGCACGCGGGAGTGGGAGCTTCGCCCCTATCTCCGACGGAGCAGCAGCAGCAGAAGCAACAGCAGCAGAAGCAACAGCAGCAGCAGCAGCAGCAACCGCAGCAGGAGCAGCGAGAGGAGAGTGGTTTTTGGCAGTTTATTCATTCCGTTTTTTCGAGCGCTTCTTTAGTTGCTGCTACAGAGTTGGGGGATCGAACTTTCTTCCTGGCGGCGTTGTTGGCTCTTCGCTACAACAGGCTGTTGGTGTTTGGGGCTACATGCGCTGCTTNTTCTTCCTGGCGGCGTTGTTGGCTCTTCGCTACAACAGGCTGTTGGTGTTTGGGGCTACATGCGCTGCTTTATTTATAGCATCAGCTGCTTCTGCTGCTGCAGGATACTGCCTGCAGCACGCTGCTTCTGTCCCCTTTATACCCGCACCTATGAAGGCCCTGCTGCAGGGGGGAGGACTCGTGAGGATCGTTTCTGCTGCTGCGCTGCTGCTCTTTGGCTGCTGGCATCTTTATAAGGCAAGAGGGGCCCTCCGAAGCCGCAAGGATACCCCCAGGAGCTCGTCGCGCAGGATATCGTTGCACAACCCCGTGCAGGGGGCCCCCCACGGGTCCTCCGCGGCATCAGCAGTACCCCTTGAGGCCCTGCCGCCAGGTGCTTCTGCTGCGGAGGGACCCGGCGCCGCAGCAGAGGATTGCAGGGGCAGCAGCAGCGGCGATACCTGTGCATCTGACGGGGGGGCCCCCAAGGGAGGGGGCCCCGACGACGCCTCGGTGTCAACGCGCCTCTCACCAGATGAGGCCTGCGGAGAGAGAGGAGAAATGTATGAACAACTGGAAGAGGCTCACGAAGACGCTGATAGACTCTTTGTAAGAAATGAAG